AACTGGAGATGGTCCCCAGACGTCTGTATGGACCATTTCCAACCGTACTTTCTTCGGTTTTCTGGCAGCCTTTGTGAAACTAACTCGTTTCTATTTGCCCATAACACAGCTCTCACAAAGACCCATATCAATAGATTTTAAGCCTTCTAAAGCTCCTTTCGCAGTCAACATCTTCATTCCTTTGACGCTCATATGTCCAAGTCTATTGTGCCATAGACTTGAATTGGACGCACTCTCAGCAGTAGCAATCATGTTTATACACTCTGCAGTAGTGTATAAGGTTCCGGATTTTGTGCCACGTGCAACAACCATGGCGCCCTTCACAATCTTCCATGAACTCTTTCCAAACTCTGCTGTATAGCTTGTGCTATCCAACTGACCAATAGAGATCAGGTTCTTCTTGAGACTAGGAATGTATCTGACATCTTGTAATGTTCACTGATTTCCTGCTGGAGTTTGTATGGAGACATCTCCCTTCCCTTCAATCTCCAAGGTTTTGTTGTCGGCAAGATACACCTTCCCGAAATTTACTGATTTGAAATTTCAAAACAATTCCTTACTTGGAGATGAATGGAACGATGCACCTGTATCCAAAATCCAGGATTCAGCTGGGCTGTCCACACTAAGAATTAAAACGTTCTCAGTGTCTTCAGATTTATGATTCTGCTTCTTCTTTAGTTTTGTACAATCTGTCCGAAAGTGTTCTTTTCCCCCACAGCTCCAACACGTTACGTTGAGTTTGTTTGGAGATTTTCCCCAGTTCTTTGATTTTGATCGTCCATGTTTGTTTGAGCTCTTTGATTTACTTCTTCCCTTCGATCAACACTGAGAGCATTGCCTGATGAATCTCCAGTTTTCCGTTTGCGAATACTTTCGCTGAGAACTACATCTCGAATTTCATCAAACTTTAGTTTATCAGATCCTCGGAAATTGCTGATTGCGGCAACAACAGTATCCCATGACTCGGGTAAGGATGACATCAAAATCAACACTTTAATTTCATCTTCAAAATTAATTTCCACCGAACTTAGTTGACTTATGATCATATTGAATTCATTTATATGATCAGCAACAGATCCACCTTTAGACATCTGTAGATTGAACAATCTCCGCATCAAATACACCTTGTTCATAGCCGACAGTTTTTCATACATATTTGACAGCGCCTTCAATAGATCTGACGTTGTCTTCTCCTTGATAATGTTAAATGCCACGTTTTTTGATAGCGTCAACTAGATTAGCCCCAATGCTTGTCGATCCTTGAGCTTCCACTGCTCCGTGGTCATGGTATCCGACTTCACCCCTAATAGAGGCTCGTGAAGATCTTTCTGGTACAGATAATTTTCAATCTGCATCTTCTAGAAACCGAAATCGGATCCATCAAACTTCTCAATTCCAATCTTTGAACTTTCCAGGTGAATTTTGCGTAGCTTTGATACCAATTGTTAGGGTCGCACAACAACGCACACGCTCGATCTAGATGAACACAAAGAACAGGATAGAGAAAAGTGCAAGGAGAACTCTGGCTAAAAGGATTTTTTTTTTATTGATGACTTCACGTAAGTACAGTAAGAGAGAATTACAAAGAATATAGAAAGTACATTTTCAAAGTTCTACCAGACAGGATATATATATGGTTCATTTTACTATATATAGCTTTACCTGATTTAACCATCTACTATATATATCTATTTACCATATATAGCTTTACCGAATATAGCTTTACTATATATAGTTTTACCATATATAACTTTACCAAATATAGCTTTACCGGATATACAGTTGACCCAGCTATAAATAAGAGAGCAGACTCCATAACCTAACATGGAGTCCCCAAGCTTAAAATCATGACATAACTTTATGATGCAAGTCAAATCATCATTTATTTATAACATAATGAGTCTAGAATCATGCATGCATAATTCTTGTCAAATCTTCCATACATAAAATAACTTACATGGTGTGGTGTATGGAGGTTTATGCATCATAGATTATCAACATCTTTAACATGATTTTACAACATGACATGGTCACACTATAACATAGCTTATACACGTGGAATAACACAACATTGCATAACATAACGTAACAATGCATAACATGGTACAACATGACATTGCATAACATAACAACCATAATTATGACACGTGCATGAGACACAAAGTACACATCATCATACATTATACAATTCATCTAACTAAGCCAACAGTAAAGCCACTTACTTGGTTGGCCTAAGTCAGAATCACTAAGTATTCCTAGAGCTGGCTCGAATATGTTCCTCAACATTCAATTCAACCGGTGTGAACCCATGACATTGAATTAGAATAAACTAACGAGCTTAACTTACCTAAAGGTATCAGATGATTCAAATTTTTAGCTTAAAATAATTTAAATTAAGCAAACATGGGTCTTACTAACCTCAGATGCCTCCAAGAGTGTAAAAAATAGCTCGGGTAAAAAAAACAAATCCAAATAGCCCAACTCGAGCCAAATGAGCCGTTTAAGAGCTACCAGAGTGTGCCAAATCAAGTTGAGTCGAGCCGAAGTCAAGGGAACGAGCAATAAAATTACCTTATTTAAATTTTATTTTAATCATGGGGCTTTTAAAAGACTTTCGAATCATAATCCAACCAACGGGCAATAAAAGTACTAGGGGTACATGGATTGGTTAGGTTATAAACTCTAATTTCAGTCGCACGCATTACTGAAATTAGTAATAAACGTCAAATATTCTTAATTTTCATAATAATTTTAAAAGTAGGGATAGATTGAATTGTAACTCTGTTTTCGAGTTGGTCGAGTTGACTCGACAAAAAAATGTCAACTTACAAACCGACCCAAATTTTCAATTTTTCAAAATTTTTTATCCAACTCAGCTTTTATAATTTGAGTTGGATAATACGAATTGGTCGGGTTATCCGGTCATATGAACATCCCTAAAAAAATATACAAATATTTTACTAGTAAGATTTCCCGAACACCCAACACATAACTTGCAATCATCGGTCCTTTTTTGGAAACAGAAAGAAAATAAACTTTAAAAAAGTGTTGAGTAAGTTAGATAGTAAGTCCAATCAAGTCGGCAAGCTATGCATGTGAGTGTATTTTAATTTATTTGATCATATACTATACTAAATTTCATTATATTTATTAAAAAGAGATTACGTATAAATGATTGAACGGGTGTACTTGAGTTTGATTGTTCGGGTGGTATAATTTTCAACTTGAACAACCCTTGCTAAATAATGAACCTAATCGATTCATAAATTTTTTGAATTGAGTTGATTTAGGTGGTTTTTATTCAATTTTTTTAAATAAAAATGAAAGGTTGATTTGTAAAACATTTATTTATTTATTTTTGAATATTTATTAAGATTTATAACTCCTTTTGAAAAATTTCCTTCAAATGATATTCCACATTGGTTGGGGAGGAGAATGCAACATTGTTTATATGGGTGTGAAAACTTTTCCCTAGTAGACACGTTTTAAAGCCTCGAGGGAAAGCTCGTAAGAGAGCCCAAAGAGGACAATATTTGTTAGCGGTGTGCTTGGGCCATTACAAATGATATCAAAGCTAGACATCAGGCGATGTGTCAGCGAGGAGGCTCTTCCCTGAAGAGGGTAGACACGAGGCGGTGTGCTAGTAAAGACGTTGGAGAAAGGAACGAGTGTCAATGAGGACGCTGGGCTCGGGGGTGAATTATGATATCCCACCTTGGTTGGTGATTTAAAGCCTTGAGATTACAATAAAAAAAATAAATCCAATTCAAATAATAATTGATGTTTGATACAAAGTTCGAGTCCTTAAGAAGACCTTTTGTTATGAAACTCTTGGATTTGATTTAACATCCTTGTCGAAGAACAAAATTTTTAGATTTAAGTTATCTAAGAATTCCAAAAACAATTAAGAATCAATTTAAGGGAAAGTTTCGAAACAAATTACCTTACGATTAAGATCAAAAGTAAAGAAAACTATGTACTATAATTTCATTAATTTATTCTAAAGTATACATGGTGGCTAATTATGGAGATAAAGTATGACACTTACGAACTCTTGAAATGCCTCATGGAAGATCAATAGTTTCATTTTGAGGCTATATAAAAACATGTATATTATTTTTGTAAAGAAGACTTGGAAAATGTAGTAAAAGAAACATTTGTGCTTTCTTTTAGTCAATGACTACGTTTCTTTGCAATTTTACGTAGTTTAGATTGTACGTAGAATCATTCAAGATTGACATGATCAATCTTGCTTTTGAAGTAATTCTAATCTCAAATAAGTATTCTTACTTTGAAATATTTGATAAACAACATAATTTGAAATCTTACTTTCCCTTGAGTAATAATTTATCATTAGGGCTGAGTGTTCTTACTTTTCATATGTAATTCTATGTAATTTAGATGAAGGCCTTTTGGAGAAACCCAAAGCAAAACCATGAGAGCTTATGCTCAAAGTAGACAATATCATACCATTGTGGAGAGTCGTGATTCCTAACATGGGATTAGAGTCATGCCCTAAACTTAGTCATAGCAATAGAATCCCTAAATATCGAACAAAGAATTGTGAACCTCGAAGGTGTAGTCAGAAAGTGACTAAGGTGTCAAAAAGTAAGGCAGAGATAAGTTGGGTTGTGAACCCTATTTTAACCCGACCAAATCGAATTAGATTTTTTGATTTTTCGAAAACCCCAACTCAACCAAAACTGAAAAAAATCAAACCCAACCCAACCCACGATTTGAAGCGGATAATCCGAATTGTTCGGGTCATACGAACACCTATATTACCCGACAATCTTTTGGAGAATCTTTCTCGTGGCCTTGTAGGCTTTGTTGCTTCAATCTTAGGTAAACCAAATAAGGAAGGTGGGGTTGTTTTGTTCATTCTTTGGCACTACTCTCTCTTTTTGCTATCAATAATTAATATGAACCACTCATGTTTATCACGGCGGAGCTCATCATCAACCCCTTCCACCATATCTATATGAACCCATCTCTCAACTCAACCATCTTCATCTCTTTCTCTATGACCATGGCGCATTCACCAACAAAGTTTGCATTCCTTAGCTTAGTTTCTCTACTAGTTTTGGGGTTGCTCACCAAGTTCTTGTTCATCTCCTTAAACATCCTTTTAATCACTCTTACCATTGCTTTTGTCTTTGCTATCATACTCTTCTCCAATTTCTCCAATACTCCTCCTGGTCCTCTCCCTATTCCTATCTTCGGGAACTGGCTCCAAGTCGGGAACGACCTCAACCATCGTGTTCTTGCGTCGTTAGCGCAAAAATATGGCTCGGTGTTCCGACTCAAACTCGGCTACAAGAATCTAGTTGTGGTGTCTGATGCTGAGCTTGCTAGACAAGTTCTTCATGCTCAAGGTGCGGAGTTTGGCTCTCGTCCTCGAAATGTCGTCTTCGACATTTTCACTAATAATGGACAAGATATGGTGTTCACGATTTATGGTGAGCATTGGCGTAAAATGCGTAGAATCATGACACAACCACTTTTTACAAACAATGTTGTGCATACCTATAGTGGTATGTGGGAGGAAGAAATGGAATTGGTTGTTCGTGATCTTAAGAATAACTCGAAGGTGAGATCGGAAGGGTTAGTCATAAGAAAGCCCTTGCAATTGATGATGTACAATATCATGTACCGAATGATGTTTGATTCGAAGTTTGAATCTCAAGACGATCCTTTATACATTGAGGCGACTCGATTGAACTCGGAAAGAATGCGATTGGCACAAAGTTCGGAATATAATTATGGAGATTTCATTCCTTTCCTCAGACCCTTTTTGAGGGGTTACTTGAACAAGTGCAAGGAGTTGAGAAATGAGAGGTTGGCATTTTTCAACATTAACTATGTTGAGAAGAGAAGGTACGTAGCACTGACACCTTTGAACTTCTTAATCCATGTAATGCACAACACAACACTTATGAAAAATAGGTGTATTATCCCACATTGTTTGGGGAGGAGAACAATTGAAACCTCTCTAGCAGACACGTTTAAAAACCTTGAGGGGAAGCCCGAAAGGTAAAGCCCAAAGCGGACAATATCTGCTAGCGGTGTGCCTGAGCTGTTACAAATGGTATCAGAGCTAGACATCAAGCGATATGCTAGTGAGGAGTATGTTCCTCGAAGGGGGGTAGACATGAGGTGGTGTGCCAATAAGGACATTGGGCCCCGAAGGGGGATGGATTTGGTGGGGTCCCACATCGATTGGAAAAAGGAACGAGTGCCAGCAAGGACTCTAGGCCCTGAAGGGGGGTGAATTGTGATATCCCACATTGGTTGGGGAGGAGAACGAAATACCCTTTATAAGGGTGTGGAAACCTCTCCCTCAGAGGTAAAGGGGAGGAGAACGAAATTTCTTTTATAAGGGTGTGGAAACCTCTCCTTAGGGGTAGAGGGGAGGAGAATGAAACACCATTTATAAGAGTGTTGAAACCTCTCCCTCGAGGGTAGACACGAAGCGATGTGCCAATAAGAACATTGGGCCTCGAAGGAGGGTGGATTTGGTGGGGGACCCACATCGATTAGAAAAAGGAACGAGTGCCAGCGAGGACGCTGGGCCCTGAAGGGGGGTGGATTGTGATATCTCACATTGGTTAGAGAGAACGAAACACCCTTTATAAGGGTGTGGAACCTCTCCATCGGGAGTAGACACAAGGCGGTGTGCCAGCAAGGACGTTGGGCCCCAAAGGAGGGTGGATTTGGTGGGGGTCCCACATCGATCGGAGAAAGGAACGAGTGTCAATAAGGACGTTGGGCCTTGAAGGGGGGTAGATTGTGATATCTCATATTGGTTAGGGAGGAGAACGAAACACCCTTTATAAAGGTGTGGAAACCTCTCCTGGGCCGTTACAATATGTGATCACTAGAACTAGTTCAAGCAACTAAATATTTTTTCATTTTGATAGAAAAATTATGGAAGCTAACGGAGACGAGCACAAAACAAGTTGCGCCATAGATCATATTATAAACGCTCAACTAAAAGGAGAGATTAATGAAGAAAATGTTTTATACATCATAGAAAACATCAACGTTGCAGCAATACAGACAACACTTCGATCAATGGAGTGGGCAATAGTCGAGTTGGTGAATCATCCAACCTTTCAGCAAAAAATTCGAGACGAACTCTCAACGATCTTAAAAGAAATGAAAGTCACACCATCGAACTTACATGAGTTACCCTATCTACAAGCCGTAGTGAAAGAGACATTGAGACTACGCATACCGGTACCATTGTTAGTACCACATATGAACTTAAAAGAAGCCAAGCTTGGAGGCTACACAATTCCAAAGGAGTCTAAGGTGATGGTGAATGCATGGTGGTTGGGCAATAACCCGGCATGGTGGAAAAATCCAGAAGAGTTCAGGCCAGAGAGGTTCCTTCAAGAAGAAAGTAGCACAGAAGTTACAGTAGGAGGTAACGTCGACTTTCGACTCATACCATTTGGCATCGGAAGGAGAAGTTGCCCCGGGATCGTTGTGGCAATGCCAATCTTGGGAATGTTCATTGCTAAGTTGGTAACCAATTTTGAAATGAAGCCTCCAAATGGGATGGAGAAGATTGATGTGCAAGAAAAAGGAGGACCATTTAGTTTGTATATTGCGAACCCGTCGACTGTGGCATTTGAACCTATAAGTGTTTAGTCAGGTCGAACTGACTACAAAATAATAATAATAAATAAATAAATAAAGAGAACAAAAAACTTGTTTCTCGAGAAGTATCATTGTCCATTTGCGCCCGCATCTCACTCTTTCGAGTTTTGTATAACTTGAGCATAATGCAACATCGCTTGGTTAACTTTATAAGGAATGTTTCGTTCCCTTCACCTTTAGAAAGAATGCACATATATTAAGGAAAGGTTTCCACAGCTTTATAAGGCCTATTTCACTCCCTCACCTTTATAAAAAATGCGCGTCTACTAGAGAAATGTTTCCACACTTTTATAAATAATGTTTTATTCCCCTCTTCAACCGATATAGGATCTCCCCAACATCCTCACTGGCACACTGCCTAATGTCTGGCTTTGATACCATTTGTAATAGTCCAAGCCCACCACTAGTAAATATTGTCCACTTTGGCCTATTATGTATCGTCATTAGCCTCACGATTGTAAAATGCGTCTATTAGAGAGAGGTTTCTACACTTTTATAAGGAATGCATCACTTCCCTCTCCAACCGGCGTGGGATCTCACAAAATTAGAAGACCTCTTAAAAAAAAAGAATGGCTTTGATATCATTTGTAATAGTTCAAGCCCACCACTAATAAATATTGTCCACTTTGGCCTAGTACGTATCGCCATTGGCCTCATGGTTTTAAAATGCGTCTATTAAAGAGGTTTCTACACTTTTATAAGGAATGCATCACTTTCCTTTCCAACCGACGTGGGATCTCACAAAATTAGAAGACCTCTTAAAACGAATCAAATTATCCAAGCTCAAGACATGATCCTCATAGAAAAAAATTGCATATAAGCCATTTCTCATTAGACTAGGAAAGAAAACCTGCACATCTTTTCTAATTTACAAGCAAAATCTAAGGATACAAAGTTTCATACTTTTGCTAGCTAAACTGCATCACAATAATACAACATTACGGCGTGGCAAACAAGATCAGCTCTTGTTACAACAATGGCAACGCTATCATAAACTATATAATATCAGATCGGTGAATAATATACCACCTTCCATGACAAGACAACTCCAACCCAGATGAACCTTCACTTTTCTCTCCACTTCAACTTCTACTCAACTATGCTTCTAAAGTTGTCTTAGGCTAAGAGTTTCAAGAAAATTTAACCAGACAATGACTAAGCTATTGCTGAGTGAGTGTTGGTTGCCTATAATATCTCCTCCATTGCTAACAGGGAATCGTAGCCGTAGTGATATATGAAGCTATGAACTTTGAGCTAAGAGTTATAAGAATCAGTAACCAATAGAAGGGAATGTCAGCGTTTAGGCTGTGTGCTTAAGCGTTTCCACCATCTGAGCTACTGCAGGCTTGGTTAGGTAGGACACCGTTGCCAAAATCTCCATCCAAGCTCATTTGTTGGACTTCTTGTGGGGAGAGGATCTTGATGCTTCGTACACAGTTCACAAAGTCCCTGAAAGTTTGAACAAGGATAACGATTACGAGCTTGCAAGAATAAGTTCGGAGGGAGTCCAACATTGACTAATAATCATAGGTTTATAAGTAAGGAATACATCTCCGGGAAAACCAAACGCAAAACCACGAGAGCTTATGTTCAAAGTGGACAATATCATACCATTCTGGAGAGTGATTCCTAACACTATGAAATTCAGACTATGAGATCTCATATCAGTTGGGGAGGAGAACGAAACATTCTTTATAAGGGTGTGGAAACCTCTTCCTAGCAGATGCGTTTTAAAAATTCTGAAGGGAAGCCCGGAAGGGAAAGTCTAAAGAGGGCAATATCTGCTAACGGTGGGTCTGGGCGGTTACAGATTTCCTCATTTTATTTGTTCTTAAGAGCTGTAAGGAAGTAGCTAGCACTGATATGAGATCCCACATCGGTTAAGGAGGAGAACGAAACATTATTTTATAAGGGTGTGGAAACCTCTCCCTAGCAAACACGTTTTAAAAACCCTAAAGGGAAGCCCGGAAGGAAAAGCCTAAAGAGGACAATATCTGCTAACGGTGGGCTTGGGCGGTTACAGATTTACTCATTCTATTTATTCATGAGATGACTCTTTAGGAGTTGTACACAAGTAGCTAGCACTGATATGAGATCCCACGTCGGTTGAGGAGGAGAACGAAATATTCTAGATAAGGGTGTGGAAATCTCTCCCTAGCTCTAGCAAACGCGTTTTAAAACCTTGAGGAAAAGCCCAAAAAAGAAAACCCAAAAAGGACAATATCTACTAGCGTTGGGCTTAAGATGTTAAACAGACATTTATAACGAAAGATGCAAATAAAAGACTTACTCCCAAGGGTCGTCGCCTACAAGTAAAACATCGTTTTCATGATCCACATAAACAAGTTTCCAGCCTATCTTTTGCCTGTCTTCCAATTGCCCCTCGATACCGAACCGACGGGCGAGATCTTGTTTAAGCTCATCGTAGCCCGAGTAGCGAGTAATATCAATAGATCTCCCAACAGCTCCACGTTTGTACACCTTCAATAATCAAAACAAGCAAGTTAGACAACATGGAGAATCAAAAAGGAAATGACATCGGCATTTTATATGTACCTTGGTATAGGTTCGCATACGTTGAAAAGGAGGTGGAGGGGCCCATTGGTTTCTATTTAAGAAGGAACTGTCGTTTATCGTTGAATCCATGGAATTGAATGTCATATCCGGAATACCAAATGATTGTGAAACTATAGAAGAAGAGATTTCCTGTTGAGGATCTTTCTGTGCGTCATATGTGGCAAGCATGTCTCCAGAAGAGAAATTATTGGAGAAATCTTTCCCCAACCCTCCAATGCCTTTGTTCAACAAAGGATCTGAATTTAAATGTGCTACCAATTGTCCATCAACATTAGTCCCATAAGGAATGTTATGAAGATCCGTTGGTGGCTCCAAATCCTGTGAACCATCTCTAAACAACATGGGCTGTGAGTTGAAAGACATTATATTATTCTGCTGCAGCTGAGCATCATTCTGGGAAAGACAAGCCGACGTTGTTGACGACGATGTGTCCAAGAACTCTGTCTGTGGAACAGCACCGGTCAAGAAGGTCTGTTGTGTCAAAACTCCATGGCTTTGATTCTTGGAGATATTCAGTGAAGGTTTAACAGCAGCCTTGTGTGGTATGTTTTTAACCAAGTTGGCATTTGGTGATATGCTATCCAAGGTGTTGGTACTGAATATTGTAGCAGCAGATTGAGCAACATCGTCGACTAATCCGGTGGTTCGATGTAGGCGTCCGTTCGTTACAGGTTGAACCAAACTTGGACAGTTGTTTGTGGAAGGAGATGTGGAGCATGATGGTATGTCATCAGTGATTCCTGATTGACCTGCCCCTGCTGCTCCTGTTATTACACTACTAGTAGCTGCAGAGAACTGATTGTTATGTCCCATTGGCCTAGACATATCATGAGGCTGTTGCTGTAACTGTGGGAATTTTGGCTGCAAATGCTGATTTGAGCTATGGCTCTTTGGTGCCTGCTGTGCTGATGGAGGAGGGCCTGCAGCTGGGGCAGATTGAGGTACATCGATCGTTTGGTTAGTTGACATGGATATCGAAAAGCTCTGCTGTTCCGGGAGTTGGGCAAGTTGAGCAGGCTGAAGAACAGACTGCTGAGCCAAAAGTGATTGCTGCTGTTGCTGAAACTTTTGCATCATCTGCATTTGAATCTGATTATCAGACATTTGCAACGGATGATTCGACTGATCCGGGATCGGTGGCTGGTTCATATTCTGCTGTTGATTCTGCCCCAAAATTTGCTGATGCTGCTGCATTAGCATGTTCTGAGGGAGGCTTCTTTGAAGCTGCTGGTTTTGCAAAGAGGTTTGCTGCTGTAAGATCCCATTAGCATGAGGCTGCTGCATTATTTGAGACTGAATCTGGCTCGAGACGACATTCTGCCGTGTCTGCTGAGAGATATCATCGAACTGTTGCGGTGGCTGCACGACGGATGCCATTGAGTTCATAGTCGATGGTATCTTAGGTAGCTGATCTAACTGTTGAGCTTGAGGAAGTAGCCTTTGTGCATTGAACTGTATGTTATTTGATTGAGGATTTTGTGCATTCGACATGCCAAGTTGTCGAGAAATATCGACTCCGCCAAGGTTTGGAAGCATAGATCCAGAAAATGAATGCATATAATTTGGCTGCATATTGGAGAGTGAAGGGTTTTGCATATTCATCCATTGAACTAAGTTTAGGCCGGGATATCCCTGCGGATCTTTCATGCAGAAATCATCACCAAACATTGTTCTTTTAAATATACTATCCAAATCAGAGGAGTCATCATCTGCAAGCGAAAATATGGGTCAGGTATGGATCATCTAGTTCATGAAGGGCACTAATATCCCTTTTAAACAGATTTGTAATGATGTACTAAGTAATGTACCTGGCATTCCTGGTTGTCTTGGACGTTTTGATCTAAAGAAAGGAGGGGGGCAAATGAAAAAGGGAGCAATAACCGGTTCAATCTCCCATATCGAGACTCGGTTTCGTCGTTCTCCTCCTGTCGACTCGTCCCACCCGACCTAATCAAGGATTCACTATGCATTAGAAATGCCCCAAACTGTGTAGGTAATCATTTTTCAAGGATGAAAAGATGGGGAACAAAGTGGATATCAAACCTGTAGATTACGCCATTGTGAGCCCTTCCATCTGACAGGATCAAGATCACTTATACCTGTGATAGTGCCCATATACCTGCAGAGAAGATGATTTTCAATGCAAGAACTGAAGCATATTATGATAAACCAAAGAGGAGTATTGAGCCTATAACATATATCCACTTCTGCTTCGGATGCAATCAAAAGCGAAAACATTTCTTGATTCATGAAGAAAAATTTATTTCTCAAAAGTTTTTTAGTTTTTTGGCAAATGATCACAAACAGATACAAATCAGTGTATATCATCAATGTTGCTGTGAGATTCCACGTCGGTTGAAGTAGGGAACAAAACGTTCTATTCTTTATAAAGGTGTGGAACCTCTCCCTAGTAGACGTGTTTGGGAAGCTCGAAAGGGAAAGCCCAAAGAGGACAATATCTACTAGCGGTGGGCTTGGACGGTTACAAATGTTATCAGGGCCAAATACCGGGCGATGTATCAGTGAGGAGGCTGAACCCCGAAGGGGATGGACACCAGACAGTGTGTCAGCAAGGACGTTGGGTCACGAAGGGGAGTGGATTGGGGGGTCCCACGTCGATTGGAGAGGGGTACGAGTGCTAGCAAGGACGCTGAGCCTCAAAGGGGGGTGGATTGTGAGATCCCACATCGGTTAGAGCGGGGAACAAAGCATTCTTTATAAGGGTGTGGAAACCTCTCCCTAGCAGACGTGTTTTAAAACCTTGAGGGAAAGTCCAAAAGAAAAAACTCAAAGAGAACAATATCTGCTAGTGGTGGGTTTGGGCTATTCATCAATCTCAATAAGTTTGTTTATTCTTTTTTTTTTCTTTTTTTCGTGTATATTATTTCATCTAAAACAGGAAAATCCATTACATCTACCTTCTCGTTCCAGACTCTTCAGTCTCGAACATCATTCGGAAGCGCATACCAAGCGATATTTGGTTCGCAGACACCGCCTTATAGTATTTGGCTAGAGGAATGACAAATTCTGAAGGACTTGCCCTGCATTACAAGGAAAGTGCATTTGAATACTCGGACTACTTTAATTCATAAGGAAACACCAATAAAAGATGCAACTGACACAAACCTTGGGTTGTAAAAGACAGTAAAAGGGCTGTTGTTTGCAGCAGCATGGGCGGCAGCTGCAAGAATACCAATGTGCATACTATCACTCGACAACACTGATGATGACAAGTTTGTCGGTTGCCTATTCGCTCGCCTAATGCCCAATAGAAGCTGTTGTTTTTCATCTCTGTTCAAGACCAAACTATGTAAGTTAATGATCATAGACGTGGACTTTTTTCCGACAAGTAACACCAAGACATGTCATCACCTTATGAACAAAACTGAATCACCAGCTAGAAGTCTCTTGCCACTAACAAATAAGCTCCATCCTGTTGTCAGCAAATGTCGTTTCGGTTGACCTGTAATGACGAAAACAAGGGAGGCAAACCAATGCTTAGAGAACGATTCGAGGACATTTCCATACGAGCTATGAGCTTGAACACATGCTTCGAAATGATTAGCCAATGTTATGTACCTCGATATATGTGACGGAAAGTCCATACAGTATCATGTAGATCCTTAGCAACAAGCTCTTGTGCAGGTGGTTGCATTGAGAAATCCTAGCAAGGACATAAACAGTATTACACTTTGAAATTGACAGAAAAGAAGATGAATAACATGGCAAAAGTAAGCAAAAATGCTCACAAGAGGGGGGAAGATCTTGTCAGCAGCACGGCGTGGCACGGAGAACCCCCCATGAGTGCTTGTGTCACTTGCAGTCAATGTTTTACAGAAGAACTCTGGTTGAGGCTTATTAGACTTGAGAGCTAGATCAGATCTCAACAATGCATCCTTGTCAAACTGCAAAGTAAGACGTCAAGAAAGTGAGTTTGTATTACCAATTCAGTACTATTTACTTCTTTTTTTTTTTTTTTTTTTTTTTTTT